TGCGTGCCCCAGATTCTCTCCTCCACGTTCCCCAGACTCTCTCCTCCGCGTGCCCCAGTCTCTCTCCTCCACGTGCCCCAAACTCTCTCCTCCACGTTCCCTAGTCTCTCTCCTCCGTATGCCCCAGTCTCTCTCCTCCGTGTGCCCCAAACTCTCTCCTCCACGTCCCCCAGTCTCTCTCCTCTGTGTGCCCCAGTCTCTCTCCTCCGCGTGCCCCAGACTCTCTCCTCCGCGTGCCCCAGACTCTCTCCTCCACGTTCCCCAGACTCTCTCCTCCGCGTGCCCCAGTCTCTCTCCTCCGTGTGCCCCAGTCTCTCTCCTCTGTGTGCCCAGGCCCTGTGTGGGGAATCTCTCCTCCGTGTACCCAGGCCCTTGAGTTGCCAACTCTGATGGCTGGAGACCCCATGAATGAGTGATAGTGATGTCTGCAATGTTTTGTGTTCAGTTGCCCCTCTCTCCTCCCTATACCCAGGCCCTTGAGTTGCCGACTCTGATGGCTGGAGACCCCATGTATGAGTGACAGTGATGTCTGCAATGTTTTGTGTTCAGTTGCCCTGCAGATTCAGCCTGTGGCTTCTTCTATGGAGTCAATCCATCCACACCACAGTCTTCCTTCAACTTTCCCTGCATTTCTGTCTTTCTCTCCTCCAGCCCCTTCCTTTCCCAGGCATGAAATGAGATGGGGTTATGAGACCTGTGGAAGTCCCACAGCTTGGGAGGGGAGGGCTGGGTGAGAGCCGCCTGGTCTGAGGCCCTTTCCCCTTCTCCTCTTGGAGCCACCTGCATGCTCGCATGGAGGGACTGAGCACCAGAAAGCCAGAGCTTCCTCTGCAGCGGGGCTCACACTGAGAGCCAGGGCATCGGGGAGAAACCTGTGTTGGCTTAAAGAGCAAATGGTGTTAAGGAATCTTTGCAATAAGCTTCCTTATTTTGCTAGCAGAACAAACAAAAACAGACCCTTCAGCACAGTGTGAAGGTTCCTGAAAATTATAGATATTTCGCCAATTTTCCCAGGGCCTGCCTCTCACTTTCTGTTGCAAAGTGTCAGACAGGAGCAGGTGCGGGTGGCGGTGTGGGCGCCGGACACTGCTCACGCTCCTCTGTGGTCATTCCTGTGGAAGCCCCTGAGCATGTCTGTGCATGTGGGTGAGTATGTATATGGCATGTGTGGTGCATGTGTGTTCATTGTGTGTGCACATAGAGGGGCATGAGAAGTGGGTGGGAACTTCGTGTAAACGTGTCAATGAGTGGCAGGGCTTCTCAGAACATGTCCTAGGTGGATTTCAGAGAAGGAAAATATATACACATAAAACAATGTCTGTGTGTGTGTGTGTATAAACATTGTTATGCAAATATGTAAACATTGTTATATAGTTTTTGTTATGTGTAATGTCATATATAGCTTTTTCTTACATATGAAAACTATGGCACCTAGAGTTTTTTTTTCATGTCTCGATTTCCCTCTTATTCAGGTGTCTGAGGACCTGATGTACCTGTGCATGCCTGTCTGGGCTGGGGAGAAGGGTTGGTGCAGCCCCTTGGGAGAGGTTCTGCCACCTTCACCTGTGGGGCTGCCTGCATTGCAGGAAGTGCAGGCGCCCTCTAGTGGTCGATGGGGAATGTTCAGGAAGAAGGAGGCAGGTGCCTTTGGGGCATTTGGAAACCAGCCCGGGAAGCTGCTCAATCTCTTCTTTATAGGCTGCAGTTTGTTAATCAGATCATTATTCTGACTTCTAATTCGATGCCACTTTCTTCTCTTCTTATGGGCAGTTGCATGGAATCTGCCGAAGGAAAGCGGATGATACAAAAGTATGAAGATGTGCTGTCGTTGCTGGAAAAGTGAGCAGCGCCTGGGATTGCATTGCCCTGCAGCTTGCATGGCCCCACAGGGCCCCGTGCGGCTCTTGCCTGAGCTGGCTCCTCATATTGCTCTGTGTTTTAGGTTGTCCCCACATTATCTGTGAGCTTAGTGCCCTTGGGTTACACACACAGGGCCCTGGGGAACGCAGTCCAGCCTAGAGACAGACACTGTTCCGGTGCACTGTAGTGGGAGCGAGACCTCGCAGAGCCGGAAGTGGGCCACCCCTCACGGCACCCCGAGTGCAGTGTCACGGAAAATCGCAGTGGCTGCCTACCAAGCAGAAATTTAAAAAAATGTTTCCTGTATCTTTTTATAGAGAAAGCATAAGAATGAAATTTACATGGGTTCCCAGTTGTTCCTGCTTTAAAGCTGCAGTAAGATTTTTGGGGGTGCAGGGTCTAGTGCCCATACTGCCCACACTGTTACCAAATCCGATATCGTCACCACATACCCCCATATGCAAAGCCTTTTGGCGCTTCCCATCACCTCATGACCACAACAGGAAAACCCTCCCTGGCCTTTGCTTTCCTCTCTAGCCTCCACCTTTGCCCTCTTAGTCTCAGGTGCTCCCCGCACACAGTAGGCTGTTTCTCACCTCCACCCTTTGGCCTTGCTGTTGTCTTTGCCCGGAGCACTCATCCCTCTTTCACTGTCTAACCCAGTGGTTCTCAACCTTCTGGCCCTTTAAATACAGTTCCTCATGTTGTGACCCAACCATAAAGTTATTTTTGTTGCTACTTCATAACTGTAATGTTGCTACTATTATGAATCGTAATGTAACTATCTGATATGCAGGATGGTCTTAAGCGACCCCTGTGAAAGGGTCGTTCGACCACCAAAGGGATCGTGACCCACAGGTTGAGAACCGCTGGTCTAACCTCTCCTTGTTCTCTGAGATTCAGTCAAGCATCACTTCAGCCCCCGATCCCTGAAACCTTCCAGCATCTCCTTACCACCCTCCCCGTCGCCTGTCGTCAGAGGCCTGAGCCCTGTACATCTCTCCAGGATTGCCTCGCTGTATTCTCTGTTTACCCAAGCCCAGCACATGGTAGATGCTCCACCAATGTGTAATGACTGCATGACAGATGTCTGCAAGTGACGTGAAGGTTCCTATGAGAGCAAATCCTACCCAATAGCTTCTTCCAACGTTTACTGAGACTGATCACGACTTCCCTTACCGCCTAGAAGGGCCCCCTGGAGCGTCTCTTGCTACTCTCCTCTGATTTGAGCTGTGCCATCTTTAGAAGTAAGGGGTTACTTGCAGGAGCTTCCATGCCTGGCTGAGTCAATGACTTTGACTTAAGAATGTATGCAGCCCTGGCCCCGTGGCTCAGACAGCTGGAGCATGGTCCTGTATGCCAAAAGGTTGCAGGTTTGATTCCTGGTCAATGCACATGTGGGAGGCAACCAATCATTTTTCTCTTTCTCTCTCTCCCTCTCTCTCCAAAAATTAGTAAAAACATATCCTTGTGTGAAGATTGGGGGAGGGGGCAGGGCAGGGAAGAATATATTCAGGTATTTTACTAGTATCTTTAGTTCATGAGATAGAGAGATAGATAGACTGTACATACTATATATGTGTTATGTATGTTACTATATGAAGGCACTTACCTATACCTTCAGTTACTCATTGCCAGGCATGGGGATGCTGGGAGGGTGCTTTCAGGTGCCCGCTGTTCCCCATCCTCACAGGTACGAGTCAAGACTGTATGAGGACTGGTGCCAGACGGTGTCGAAGCAGTCACAGTACAACCTCTCCCGGCCACTTCTGACACGAGACCCAGCCACTAAGCAGATTACCGTCAACTTTAACCCACAGGTAAGTCGGCCACAGGAATTTCTTACTGGGTTTCTGAAGAGTTTTGCTTAATTTTGCTGATTTCAAAGGCAAACAGGGTTTTCATATGAATATGAAAAAGCTGCTCCAAAGAATCTGCATCCCGGGTTTCTTTTGGGGATAAATCCTGTGGTGTAATGTTTTCTTAAGTTGTTCAGGGCACACATTTTTCTCCAGGGTTAGCCAATATATTTGCTTTGATTTTGCACAGCAGGAAATATCACAAAATATATTTTTTAACTTTTCATATGATAGCATTATTATACACCTGACTTTACATATAAAGTTAGAATGACAATTACACTTAAGATTAACTGATCAAAAAGTTTAATTATATTATAGATATGCACTATCTGAAATTTCAGAAGGCACTTAAACAGAGATTGCTACCCATCTTTGGGCAGATAGGATAATAGCATTACTGACCATTTAGTGCCAGACAGCTGGCCAGGCCCGCCATGAATGCCTCCCACACATGAAGGCTGTTGACTGGACACTGGGAGGCCAAACAAGCGTGAGTCCTGGTTCCTGCTCTCAAGGAACCCACACGCTAGTTGGGAGCTGGAACGCCAACATGCAAAAATCTGTCCTTACGGGGTAGTGTGTGATCAATCTCAAAGGAGTCGCTCTGGAAATAAGACTCTGGATTAGTGACTCTCCACTGAGGCAATTTCCCCCTGGGGACATTTCTGTTGTCAAACATGGGCTGGGTGCCAATAGCACCGAGTGGGGAGATACCAGAGATGCTGCTGAGCTCTCTACAATGCCCAGATGGTACCCACCACCAAGAGACTGTCCAGAATAGTAGCGCCAAGGTTGAGCAGCCCTGCCGCAGACGGTCAGAGGGTGCAGACCAGTGTGGACTGTGGCAGCCTGGGAAAGCGTAATGCTGGAGAGGACATGACCACACCTTAGCCCAGGTCAGGAGGTGCATCGTTCAGCTAAAAAAAGTAAAAACAAAAAATGCGACCACACTGAGCGAAAGCAGTCACCACTTCTGTCTGGATGGCACGTTCTCCAGGAATGCAGTGTAGAGAGAGCCAAAACTGAGCATATTGCTGTCTTTTGAGAACACTGAAGGTTAAGTAGACTATCAACTCTGACTGAGCTAAAAGTCAATAAAGGAAGTTGGAGGATCCATTTTTTTCACTTTGGTAAGTCTGTCATTTGAGTAATTTTATCAGCATTGTCTGTCAGCAATATTGGATATTAAATGCCCAAAGAGATGAGTTTCTGGATGACCAGTAAGGCCAGAGTCTAGAGATTGTGTTAATTATGTCCTCGGTATAAGACAGTATTGAGGCTGGATCACCCCTCCTCTCTAGGTTCTGAGAGCAAGGACTCTTATCAGCCCCAGTATGCAACACACAGTAGGTGCTTTTTGATGTTGTAGGTGATAGAAGGGAAAGGAAGTGGAAGAAAGGAGAGAAGAAAAGGGGAGAGGAGATAAATCCCTAAATTATAATGTGAGTCAAGGGGAAACAACTACAAATACAAGTCAGAGAAGAGCTAACATCCCCGATTCCCACTTTCCAGCTGCGTGGCAACAGCTGAGCTCTTAGGAATGAAGTCACATGTATATCAGACCAGAAGCACATGAGCAGAGCTTTGCCCCACTCGGGCCAGGCTAAGAATTTTATGGGGAAAATTATATGTATGTATGTAGAAAATTTATTTAAATTATTTAAATACCCGATTCTTGGACATTTCAATTATTTTCTAGTTGTGTCAATATGTATTTCATAGATTTTAGGATGCACTTTTACTTTATATCTTTGAAAATGGCATGCATTTGTAGTGTAAAAAACTACCTTTTTTCTTTCATTCTTAGTTGTAAATATAGCAATAGTGAATATTACCATCATTGACATCTTATAATGGAATAAAATATGGCATGAATAATGCTACAATAAGTATCTGCCATTATTATTGCATCTATTCGGGATTATTTCTTTGGAATAAATGCCTAGAAATAAAATTGCTGGGCTAAAAGGTGCTTACATTATGAGACTCTTCACGTATATTGTCAATTTGTTCTTCAGTCATTCTCCTGCCAGCAAGATATCCATTTCTTTCAGCTTAATGAACTAGAAAAAATACAAAATCTCCACATTGCTTTAACTTTGTTCACCTGTTCATTGGCTGTCTACATTCCTTCTATAAATTGCTTGTTCGTGTCCTTTGCCCACTTTTGAGTGGAAGTGCCCTCTTTATCTGTGAATTTGTTAGAATATTTTGGAAATGTTTGTCAGGTATTTTAAAAATCTGCTGCAAATATTTCTACCAGGCGAAGTATGACATTTTATTATGTATCTGATACTTTATGCATATAAATTTTATCTTTTATGATTGTGTTTGGAATGGCCTTCTCTACCTATATATATGTATGTATATATATATTATCTCCCCACATTTCTTTTTTGTTTTTAAATTTTTATTATTATTTTATTTTATTATTATTTTTTAATCCTTACCCAAGGATATATTTCCATTGATTTTTACAGAGAGTGGAAGAGAGAGGGAAAAGACAGAGAGAAACATCGATGTTAGAGAAACACATCGATTGGTTGCCTCCTGCACACGCCCTGACCAGGGCCCAGGCCAGGAGGAGCGTGCAACTGAAGTCCGTTCCCTTGACCAGAATTGAACCCGGGACCCTTTGCTTCACGGGCCGACACTCTCTCCACTGAGCCAAACCGACCAGGGCCCACATTTTCTTTTAATTTTTATTAAAAAATTTTTTAATTGATTTTAGAGAGAGAGGAGAAGAGGGAGAGAAAGAAACATCAAAGATGAGAGAGAATCATTGATCCACTGACTCCTGCACATCCCCTACTGGGGATCGAGCCCACAACCCGGTAGAGCACCCTGACTGGGAATCAAACTGGTGACCTCCTAGTTCAGCCGTTGGCAAACTACGGCCCGCGGGCCGGATCCGGCCCATTCGGCTGTTCTATCCGGCCCGCGGAGCCGAAAGAGCAGAGGGGTCTCTTGCTCTCTCCTCCGCTCCTTCACCAGCAGCAGTGTTAACATGTATTAGTTCACACAAACACTCCATCCATGCTTTTGTTCCGGCCCTCCGGTCCAGTTTAAGAACCCATTGTGGCCCTTGAGTCAAAAAGTTTGCCCACCCCTGTCTAGTCCATGGGTTGATGCCCAACCACTGAGCCACACCAGCCGGGCATGTTTCCATTTCTTACATTTAAATTTTTAATATCTACCTTGAGCAAAATAAACCAGGAGACTGAATTCATTTCCCTGCCTACTTGTTAGCATTCATCTTAACCCTAAGCAGGGTTGGCTGGGTGACAACGAAGGGCTGGCCCAGGGCCGCTGGGGGAGATGGGGGCTCAGGTGTCTTTATGTGAGCTGGGGGTGGGGAGTGGAGGGGGAATCTATGGCCTGGTATGTTTTGTCATACATTCTATACACATTAGTCCTTGTAAGTTCAGAGATAAAGGTGTTAAATAAGGAATGATGAGCAGTGCTCTTAGAAACGCTGCCAGCAGCCTCTGTGTTTTTCATTGACCCACATCTGCTTGGCTTCCCACTCCTGCAGTTGCTACTAAGCTCAGTGCGTTGTAGAAGGTCAGAGGCTGGTGACTCCCATCCCCTGACCTCCTCGTATATGAAGACACAAAGACAAGCCAGCCCATCGGGCTATTTCAAATGACTGTATGTAGCCACTGAAGTTATACAGTGGGCACCTCCTCTCAGGCCCGTCAGTGTCTATGACCATGTGTCTGACCTCATTTGGTGAGAATACCAGGAATCTAAACCCAAGGCTTCTCATGCACGGGGTGGCCCAGACCGGTGATCAGTCTCCCCCATACCAGCACAGCCATGGGACCTGGCTCAGTCAGCATGACCCTATCATGTCATCAGCCACCTGCCCTCACGCACCACAGCGGGCCTCTCCTGCTATCACTGAGGTCTCCTCTCTCAGGTTTTCCTCTCGCTCTTGGTGATTCACAGATTCGGCTAACCTGCTGCTTTCTGAGTCCTCTTCCTTCTGCCCAGTACTCACTTCCCTTCTCTGAACCCACATTTAGGGAACGGGCAGGAGCAGGGGTTGAGAGGGACCCGAAGACCTCTGGTCCCCTGGGGTTTTCCCGTCTCTGCCGCATATTGCTGTTCTTCGCTGCCACTGAACCACAGCCATCTCTGTGGCTTCTCTCCCCCAGCTGGTGTCTGTGCTGAAAGAGATGAGCTACCTTCAGCCCCGGCAGCTGCAGCACATCCCGGAGACCGCAGCAGCCATGTTCTCCTCCAGGGAGTTCTATCGGCAGCTTGTGGCCAACCTGGAGCTGATGGCAAATTGGTACAACAAGGTTATGAAAACACTGCTGGAGGTGGAATTCCCATTAGTGGCGGGAGAGCTGCGGAACATCGATCTCCACCTGCGAGTTGCGGAGGAGGCCCTGAACTGGAAAAGCGAAGGTAACGCACCACCCGTGGTCTGGGGCGCAGGGGGAGAGTCCGGATCCCGGGAAACATTGTGGACACTCAGACAATTACCTGGTAACGTGGGTTGCTTTTGAACACAAGCCTGTCTTCTCAGACACATGTCCGAGGTAGCGAAGGCAAGGAGGGTTGGTATTCTTTCTTCTCTTTGGATGTGACTAGTATATTTAGAAAAATGTGCTGCCACACACGGGGGCAGGCTCAGAGAATGAATGAGATCTCCCACAGTCTCCCGCACATACGGGGAAATTCATGAATGAAGGTTCTTCCTGTATTATCATTGTTACTTAATTTTCTTAACTGGGCTGTAAGTATCTTATAAGGGAATTATGCATTGACTTGTACCCTCTAGTTCAATGCAATAAACTTTTATCGATGGATTAACATATGTGGGGTACTCTGGGGTAAGGGGGTGGCCTGTGGAGAGAATGTAAGATATGAGGTATGTGGGAATGGCCCCACCCAAAAAGCTCACATTTAGTGAGGATAACAGACATATGCACAACATAAATTATACAAGACAAGCTATGATAAGCCATCAGAGAGTTAAACATAAAGTGTGGCAAACCACAGAGAAGGAAGATGGATTTGCATTAGGGTCCTCAAAAGAGTGAAAGTTTGAAAAGAAGGTCAAGTCAACTCCTGGAGGTCTTGGAAGGTCATATTACACAAGTCCGAGCTTTATTCCATACATGAGAGGGAATGATATTTTCAACATTTAATACAGGAAAAGTGCTTTAAAAATAAGATTCATTAGCCTATGTAAAGTCGCCAAGTTGCACTGGCGTGCCCCAGCAAAATGCACCAGCTTTTGTTTCTTTCCCTCCATAATCAGGGTTTTGGTAAGAGTTGGCTCTTTAATACAACTAGGAAGAAAAAGGCTGCTTGCGAAGACGTAACCTGTGCAGAAAAGTCTTTTAAAACCCATGAGTATTGGAACCTTGTCTTTCACAGCAGCTAGACCTTTAGCTCTGCCACTGTCAGCTATTTCAGTTAATTCTATTTCTTCTGGGGAACAGGCATTTGGGATTATGTCATTCAAATCACCAGTAGCATTCGTGACCTTGAGAAAAGAATTCAGAAAACCAAAGACAACGTGGAAGAGATTCAGAGCATCATGAAAACATGGGCGTCTCCGGTATTTAAGAGAAAGGATGGGAAAAAGGAGAGCCTGCTTTCTGTGGACGATCAGCACGACCGGATGGAAAAATATTACAGCTGCATCAGAGAGTCTGGCCTGAAGATCCACGCTCTGGTTCAGGTAATCACCAGCCCCGCAGACACACAACCACGAGTCCCGGGGACGCATCACGAGGTGTGCTTGGTGCCGGAAGGGATTTGGAAATTAGAACAATAGGTGTGTGTCTTCCGCAGTCAGGGATAGACATTTATACTGAGAGCTAAAGAACTAAAGCTAATAGGTAGGGTGAGTGAAAAGTCACATTACAGCATCAGTGTCAAAGTTAGTGCCGCCTTGCCCTAACTGGTTTGGCTCAGTGGATAGAGCGTCGGCCTGGGGACTGAAGGGTCCCAGGTTTGATTCTGGTCAAGGGTATGTACCTTGGTTGCAGGCACATCCCCAGTAGGGAGTGTGCAGGAGGCAGCTGATCGATGTTTCTCTCTCATTGATGTTTCTCTATCCCTCTCCCTTCCTCTCTGTAAAAAAATCAATAAAATATATTTTTTTAAAAAATTAATGCCGTCTTCATGGTGGCCCCACTTAGTCATCACATGACTTTAAGTGCCACACCAAACCCCAAGGAGAGAAGGAAAAGTCAAGGACAGAATCCTAAACTACCCAGTGCACCAACTGTCCCCAACTCGCCTGCACAACCTAGCGTGGAACTCCAGCACCATTCTCGTAACCCAGCTCTATGGAGCCTGAGGAGAAGGTAACTCTCGCTGCATTTGATGAAAGAAGGAAAAATGCAGTGCACACCTAAAGCAGGAAGGCACTGCCTGCATTGGGATAGATAGGGCAGCCTCATGGCCCATCCTCAAAGACTGAGGAGTGGAAAGAGCTGTTAGGGGTCACCAGCTGCCACCTACTGCAGCGGCATGGGGCAGTCCAGCAGGCTGACCTCATGCACACGGTCAGTGCTGGATTACAGCTGCTGGTTGGGGGTTATCCATGGTGTGAAGTACAATGAAATGCACTGTTGACTTTAATTTTCTTGACTTTGTTTTCTAGTGCATTCATTTCTGTTCTTTATAATTGCTTTCTAGTTAATTTGGGGTAAATTTGCTAATCTTTTTTTCTAGCCTCTCAGGGTAAAAACTTAGGGTATTATTTTGAGGCTTTCTTTCTAATACCAGCATTTGATGACATAAATTTCCCTTTGAGCAGTGCTTTATTTGCATTCCACAAATTTGATCTGCCTCATTTTCATTATCATTCAGTCTTAAATTTTTTTCTCTTGTGAATTCTTTAATTGGGTGGTCATTTAGAAGTATGTTGTTTAATTTCCACATATTTGGTCCTGCTCTGGATATCTTAATGAAATTGATACCTAATCTAATTCCACTGTGGCCCAGAGAGAATACTCTAGAAGATTTCAGTCAGCTGGAATTCACTGAGATTTCTTCCATAACCTAGAATATTGTTTATCTTATTAAATGTCCCTTGTGCACTTAACAATATGTTTATTCTCCCATTGTTGCAAATAATGTTCCATAGATACCAGTTCAAAGTGGTTGGTAGTATTGTTCTTATCTTTTATATGCTTTCTGATTTTTTTGTCTATTTGTTCTACCGATTACTAAAGATAGAATGTTCAATCTCCACCTGAAATTTTGGATTTGTCTATTTAACCTTTTAGTTCTGACAGATTTTTCATTAAGTGTTTGAAGCTCTGTTAGTAGTTACAAACACATTTATAATTATTATAACTTCCTGGTGAATTGATCACTGTATTATCATTATAAAATTCCCTTTTTATTTAGAATTAGAGGCCCGATGCACAAAATTTGTGCAAGAGTAGGCCTTCCTTCCCCTAGCTGCTGGCACTGGCTTCCCTCTGGCACCTGGGACCCAGGCTTCCCTTGCAGCCCAGCTTCTTCCAGAAGGTCATTCAGTCTAATTAGCATATTACACTTTTATTATCTATACTAGTGGCCCGGTGTACGAAATTTGTGCATGGAGTAGGGGGTTTCCTCAGCCTAGCCTGCACCCACTCCAATCAGGGACCCTTGGGGGATGTCCGACTGCTGGTTTAGGCCCGATCACAATCTGGGACTGCTGGCTCCTAACCGTTCACCTGCCTCCCTGCCTGATCAGCCAGGAGGCTGTGTACGTGGCAAGGTGTGCGCGGGTGGGCAGGGCTGCATGCAAGGCAAGGTGCACGCGGATGAGCGGGGCCATGCAATTTCACGTGCTGGGCTTCTAGTTATAGATAACACTCCCTTGCCTTGATGGGTTGTTTTTTTTGTTTGGATTTTCTTTCTGGTAATACTATGGCTTTTTCTTGCAGGTTCATTACTTCTACTTTTTGCATTGTCCATCTTTCTCTACTTTCTTACATTCAACCTATGTGCTTCTTTAGATTCCAGTTTCTTCTCTTATAGACAGCACTAGAGGCCCTTGGCCTGGCCTGCAGGATCAGGCCGAAACCGGCTCTCCAACATCCCCTGAGGGGTCCCAAATTGTAAGTGGGTGCAGGCTGGACCGAGGGACCCCACCAGTGCATGATTGGGGCCAGGGAGGGACGCGGGAGGTTGGCCAGCTGGGGAGGAACCACGGGAGGGCTCCAGGGCATGTCCGGCCCATCTTACTCAGTCCCGATCGGCCAGACCCCAGTAGCAAGCTAACCTACTGGTTGGAGCGTCTGCCCCCTGTTGGTCAGTGCACATCATAGCGATTGGTCAACTGGTAGACTGTCTGCGCCTGGTGGTCAGTGCAATAGGGAGCAGTTGAGCAGCCTTAACATATCATTAGCATATTACACTTTGATTGGTTGAATGGATGATTGGAGAACCAGACACTTAGCATATTAGGCTTTTATTATAGAGGATATGGTAGAAACTTGCTTTTCTAAGTCTAAGAACTCTGCCTACTAATTGGAGTATTTAAACTATTACATTTAATGTAGTTTTTGGTATGGATGGATTTAGCTCTACCATTTTGCTATTTGGTTCCTATTTGCTTCATCTCTTTTTTTGTTTCTCTGCTATTTCTCACCCACATTAATTGTTGTTATTAATTGTATATTTTTTAGTATTCTATTTTAATTTCTCAATTGCAATTTCAGATTTACCTTGTTGTATTACATTTGTGGTGGTTGTTCTAGGTTTCAGTATGTCTCTTGAACTAATCACAGTTAACTTAGAGCAGTGGTTCTCAACCTTGGCTGCACATTAGAATCACCTGGGAATCAGGTGAGGCCCAGAAATCAGGATTTTAAAAAGATTCCCAGGTGATTCTAATGTGCAACCAAGGTTGAGAACCACTGACTTAGAGCTTAGAGTTTTCCCATGAAATATAGGAATCTAGCAACATAGCAACATTATGGTTTAACACACTGCTGCCTCCAATCTTTTAATCATCACTGTTGAGATGTCTCTGTGTGTGTATGTGTGTGTAAAATAAACCCCACAATAGAGTATTATAATAATATTTTGCTTTAAAAACTCAAGAAAAAATGTTTCTGGTTTTTATATTTGCTCCCAAACTCACTATTTCTACACTTGTTTTTCCTTTTTTTGTTATATATTTTTTGTACACCCAGTGGCCAGACATTATATAACTTAATATGAGATCATCCCCCAAAATCCCACACCCATCCAGCACCACACCTAGTTATTACTATATTGTTGACTATATTCCCTATCCTGTACTTTACATCCCATGACTATTCTATAACAATCAATTTGTACTTCTTAATCCCTTCATCTTTCTCACTCATCCCTCCAACCCCCTCCCATCTAGCAACCGTCAAAATATTCCCTGTATCTATGAGTCTATTTCTGTTCTTGTTCATTTTGTTTGTAGATGCAATTGTTGATAGGAATGTATTTATTGCCATTTTATTGTTCATATTTTTATCTTCTTCTTAAAGAATACCCTTTAACATTTCACATAATACTGGTTTGGTGGTGTTGAACTCCTTTAACTTTTTGTTGTCTAGGAAGCTCTTTATCTGACCATCAATTCTAAATGATAGCTTTGCTGGTTACAGTAACCTTGCTTGTAGGTCTTTGCTTTTCATCACTTTGAATATTTATTACTACTCCTTTTTGGCCTGAAAAGTTTCCGTTGAGAAAGCAGCTGACAGTCTTATGGACACTCCCTTGTAGGTAACTAACTGCTTTTCTCTTACTGCTTTTAAGATTCTCTCTTTTTCTTTAACCTTTGCCATTTTAATTATGCTGTGTCTTGGTGTGAGCTTCTTTGGGTTCATGTTGTTTGGAAGTCTCTGCTTCCTGGAATTGTATGTCTGTTTCCTTCACCAAGTTAGGTAAGTTTTCTGTCATTATTTTTTCAAATAACTTTTCAATTTCTTGCTCTCTCTTCTGTTTCCAGCACCCCCATGATGCAAATGCTGGTACCCTTGAAGTTGTCCCAGAGGCTTCTTACACTATCCTCATTTTTTTAAATTCTTTTCCTTTTTGCTGTTCTGATTGGGTGTTTTTTGCTTTCTTATATTCTAAATCACTAATTTGATTCTCAGCTTCATCTAATCTACTGTTGATTTCCTGTAAATTATTCTTTATTTCAATTAGTTTAGCCTTCATTTCTAACTGGTTATTTTTTATGCTTTTTAGGTCCTCACTAAGTTCCTTGAGTATCCTTGTAACCAGTGTTTTGAATTCTGCATCAAGTAGATTACTTATCTCCATTTTATTCAGTTCTTTTTTTGGAGTTTAGTTCTCTTAATTCATTAGGGACATGTTTCATTTGGGACATGTTTCTTTGTCTCCACATTTTGGCTGCCTCACTGAGCTTATGTCTATGTATTAGGTAGAACTGCTACATCTGCCAGGCATGGTAGTATGGCCGAATGTAGTAGGTGTCCTATAGGGTCTAGTGGCACAGCCTCCCTGATTATTCCAGCTAGGCACTCAAGGTGCGCCCCCATATGGATTATATGCCCTCCTGTTATAGTTGAGACTTGATTGCTGTTGGCGTGTCAATGGGAGGGAATTACCCCCAGGTACAAGGACTGACTGTTACCACTGGCCCCCAACCTCCAACTACCTTAGAGGATCAGTTGTGTAGGGATCTACTGCACAGAGCAGGACTTACTTCAGCAGGGATCTGGTGCC